ACTCACAGGGCAAATGCCTCGCTGAGGAGGGGGCTTTGTGTAGGGCAGAGCCCCACGGCAGCCCCAAGTCTGTCGGGGTGCCAAGGAGGGGATGTGGGTGCCAGGGGCGCTCTGGCTCTGTCACAGCCAAGGGCTGCAGCCACAGCCACCACATCACAGTCCCAACCGGCCCCCCAGCCCCAGCCAAGCCCCCACTCACACTCGTCTTCCCAGGGAGGATGAGGAGGGACCGGTGCCCTGCCTCCGGAGCCCCTGGGCCCCTGTGTCCCCCAGCACGGGACAGGAGGTTGGCAGGAGCCCTGCCAAAGGAACCCCATTCCCGGACAGGGCAGGGGCTGCCCGGTGGCATCCTGTGGTGCCAGGCAGGGGCTGGACATCACCCGTGTCCCTGCAGCCACGCTGGGGCTCCCGAGGGGGGCCAGGATGGGCCGGTCCGGGGACACTGGGTGGGTGCTCGGCCCCGCCGTGCCCCGATGCCAGCTCTGCCGCCGGCCCTGCACAAGGCCAGCTCTGTTCTCCCGGGAGATCCGCGGCCGGCGGCACATTTAACCCCTTCTGCCCGCGCCGGGATGCCGGGGTCAAAGTGGCCTCGTGGGACTGAGGGGACAGCCCGCGGGGACACAGCCCGTGGGGGCACCTGCCCCCTCCCAGCCCCACTGAGGGGGCCCGGGGAAGGAAGGGTGGGAGCACGGGGGGCTGCACCGTGCCCAGCCCCGGGGCTCGGCACCCCGAGCCCCCCCGGCCACGCTGCTCCCTGCGGTGGCGCTCGGGTGGCGCTCGGGGGGCTGTGGAGGCGGCAAGGGGGGCTGTGGGTGGCACACGCAGGTCCCCCCTCCCATCGCCACCCCCTGGCACGGGAAAAGCGACTCATCTCTTCAGCAGAAAAGGGAAGCAAAACCTTCTGCCAGCGCTGCCGGCCGGGGCAGCCCCCGGGGGTTTTCCGCCGGGGAAGTGGAGCAGCCGCCCCCGTGAGCTCCCTGTCCCACGGTCCCCAAACCCGACCGGACCTCCCCGAACCGACCCTGCGCGCCCCAGGCGCCCCTTCCCCGCCCCACAGCCGCCGGCACACCCAGCTGCGGGCACCTCAGAGCCCACCGTGCCCCCGGCGCCCCGCCCTGTGCGCCCCTCCCCGGGCACCATCCCGGCCCCAGGGACGTGCCCGGGGCCACGCGGGGCTGGGGTCACCAGCCCCGCTCACGGGGTCACTCCTGCTCTGGGGGCAGGCACAGCATTGCCCGCCCGGCCCTGCAGCCTGCTCAGCAGCAGAAAGGGGAAATAAATAAAACTACTAAAATCTCTAAATCCCGCGCAGGGACCCCACGGGGGTCCATGGCCATGGTGGGGATGCAGGGACCCCCAGGGCCCCCTCAGCTCTGCCCCAGGCTCTGCCGTGGCAGCTAAAATAGCTCCCATGCTGAGTCGGAGGATTGTGATTTCTCTCATTTTCCAGCTGTCGTGACTAATTTCCTCATTTTATTTCCCTCCCGGGCCAGGTCCCGCTCTGCCCTCGCCACAGCCACGGCCACTCCCGGCCCTTGGCCTCTGCCCCAGGCACTGCCACAGCTCTGCAGCTCCGGGGCTGGAGCCGGAGCCAGGCCTCTCCCGGGGAGGTGGGGACCCCCTCGGGACCCCCTCCCTGACCTGGCCACTGCTCCCAGGAACCACAGTGCTGGATCAGGGGGATCCTGGGCGGGGGTGATGGATGGATGATGGATGGATGGATGGATGGGTGGATGGATGGATGATGGATGGATGATGGATGGATGGATGGATGATGGATGGATGATGGATGGATGGATGAATGGATGGATGGATGGATGGATGGATGGAGCCAGGCAGGCCAGGCCAGGCTCCGTGGCCTCCAGTGGGTCCCAGTGCCGGGTGGCAGCGCGGTGCTGCTCTGGCACCTCTCTGGGCCACGGCCAAACCAAACCCAGTCCCACACACGAGGGCACAGCCCACACCTGCACCGCAGCCAGCACGGCCCAGCACCTCCACAACTGCCCACAGACCCCCCCGGCACCTGGGCCAGCCCCCTCCCACCACAGCTTGTCCCCAAATGCCACAAACGCCACCTCAGTGCCTCAGTGGCTTCTCCTTCCCCCAGCCAAGCGGAGGAAGCCCAGCAGCCCCCAGCCGCCCCGCAGGCTCCAGGGGACCCGCGGGTGTCCCCACGCTGACTGAGTGACCCAGTGACCCCGGGGGAGTCCCCGCGGGGACCCCATGACAAGCACCCACAGCAGGAGCCCTGGCTGCAGGGACAGCCCTGGCACGTCCTGGCTGCTGCCCACGTCTGCCAGCGCCTGCGAGGGATGTGTGGGGTCACCCAGGGGGTCAGTGGGGTCACCCAGGGGGTCAGTGGGGTCACCCAGGGGGTCAGTGGGGCAGTGCAGGGGGCAGTGGGGGCAGTGCCGTGGAACGGCGCTGGAGGCATCACTGGGGTCAGTGTGGGGGCTCGGGGGGTCTGTTCAGGGGGTCAGGTCAGGGGGTTCAGGGGGATCAGGGGGATCAGGGGTCAGTGCAGTGGAGCAGTGCCGGGGGGAGGTCAGCGGGGTCAGCGCAGTGCTGGTCAGGGCGGGGGCTCAGTGGTCATTGCACGGGGGTCGGGGGGGTCAGAGCAGTGGGGAGCACCCGGGGTCCCGCCGAGGGGGTCGGGCCGGGCCCGTTTGTCCCCGCTCTGTCCCGGCTGCTGCGGGGCCCGCTCCCGCCCAAAACTCCGCTCCCCCGGCAGCCCGGTCCGCCGTTATCCCCGGCTGTCCCGTTACCCCCGGCGCCGTTATCCCTGGCGGTTCCGCTATCCCCGGCGGTCCCCTCGCCCCCGGAGCTCCGCTATCCCAGCTCCGTTATCCCGGCACCTCCGTTATCCCAGGCAGTCCCGTTATCCCCCGGTGTCCCGCTCCGGGCGGGTCCCGCCGCCGCCGCCCCCGCCCTGGCCCCGACCGGCGGCTCCTCCCGCCCCCCGCTCGCAGCCCGGCCCGGCGGGGACCCCCGGGACCCCCGGCCCTGCCCGGAGCCCCCGGCCCCGCACTCACCCCGGGGCATGGCGCGGCGGCGGGCGCGGGGCCGGGGCGGCAGCGGCAGGAGAACGAAGAGCAGGACCAAGAGGAGGAGGAGGAGGAGGAGGAGGAGGAAGTCTGCGGCCGCCTCCTCCGCCGCCCCGGGCGGTCCCGCGGAGAAACTTCCCCCGCCGCGGCCCGCCGCGCCTCTGGGGCAGGACCCCGGGCACGACCCCCGGGACAGCAGCCCCCGGGGCTGGGGAGGCGCAGGGACCCTCCTCCTTCGCCTCCCCAGTCCTTGAGCCCCTGACCCCACCTCTGACCTCCCTTGGCCCCCGCCGCCCACCCCGAGCCCCCCGCTGGGGACAGGGACACCCCGGGACGGTCACTGCCAGCCAGGGGGGTCCGGAGCTCGGGGGGAGCAGGGAGGGGAGCCCACCCCAGCCGGGGCTGCCTGGGGACTCTGATGGCCGGGGGGAGGTGACACCCCCTGCCCTCGGGGGTGCGTGGGGAGGGGGTGGCAGCACAGGGGGGACAGCACAGGGGTGGCAGCACAGGGGGTGAAAGCACAGGGGGGACAGCACAGGGATGACAGCACAGCACAGGGGTGACAGCACAGGGGTGACAACACAGGGGTGACAACCCAGGGGTGACAGCACAGGGGGGACAGCACAGGGATGGCAGCACAGGGGTGACAACACAGGGGTGACAGCACAGGGGTGGCAGCACAGGGGTGACAGCACAGGGGTGACAGCACAGAGGGGACAGCAGAGGGGGTGACAGCACAGGGATGGCAGCACAGGGGGGACAGCACAGGGGTGACAGCACAGGGGTGACAACACAGGGGTGACAACCCAGGGGTGACAGCACAGGGGGGACAGCACAGGGATGGCAGCACAGGGGGGACAGCACAGGGGGGACAGCACAGGGATGGCAGCACAGGGGTGACAACACAGGGGTGACAGCACAGGGGTGGCAGCACAGGGGTGACAGCACAGGGGTGACAGCACAGAGGGGACAGCAGAGGGGGTGACAGCACAGGGATGGCAGCACAGGGATGGCAGCACAGGGGTGACAACACAGGGGTGGCAGCACAGGGGGGACAGCACAGGGGACCAGCTGCCCCAGGGGGAACTGGGGCTCTCCTGCTGCACCCCAAGGGGGAGCGGGGGGTCCCGGGGCTGCCGCGGCAGTGCCCCCCACCCCGAGCTGTGCTGCTGCTGTGAGGGTCCCCCAAGGGCTGGGTCCCCCCGTGTGGGAGTCCCCATCAGGGCCGGGTCCCCCCAGCAGCGCCCGCAGCCCATGAGGGTCCCTGGCCAGGGGGGCTGTGGGGGACACCCGGGGTGGAGGGGAGGCAGTTCCAGGAGCCGTGGCCTGTCCCCACCCTCATCCCGGGGTCTGCAGGGTGGGACCCCCGCCCGGGACCCCCCCAGCGCGGGGCCAGCACGGGCTCCCAGGGCACTGGACATCGGCCTGGACACCCCCCGTGCCCGGGGACCCCAGGAGGGGCCGGCCTGGGACCCCCCCAGAGCGGGGCACGGGCACCTGGCTGGGGGAGCCTGTGCCAGGGACGGGGGGGCATTATGGGAGCCAGAGTGGGACAGGTGTGAGAGGGGACAGGTGTGAGCATTGGGACAGGTGTGAGGGGGACAGATGTGAGAGGGACAGGTGTGATGGGGACAGGTGTGGGAGGGACAGGTGTGAGAGGGGACAGGTGTGATGGGGACAGGTGTGATGGGGACAGGTGTGAGGGGGACAGGTGTGAGAGGGGACAGGTGTGATGGGGACAGGTGTGAGGGGGACAGGTGTGAGAGGGGACAGGGGTGATGGGGACAGGTGTGGGGGGGGACGGGGGTGAGGATTGGGGCCGGGGCAGAGCGGGTTTTCCGGGCAGCACCGCTGCCAGGAGGCGGCGGAGGGACGGAGCGGGCCGGGTAGACGCTAGCGGAGGTGGCGGGAAGAGGGGTTATCCCGGCAGAGCGGAGAGGGACCGGCGGGGTTACCCCGGGAAGAGACCACTGAGGGCGGGGGGACTGGGGCTGTCCCGGGAGCGACCACTGCGGCGGGGGGGAGGCTGTCCTGGGAGAGACCACTGCGGGGCGGGGGGGGGCAGAGGGTTCCGGTAGCCGGTGCGCGGCCGCAGCTCGCGGCGGAGCCGGGATAGCCGGGATAGCGGGATAACCGGGACACCCCGCGGGCCCCCAGCCGGTGCCGATGCCGAGGAGCAGCTGACGGCGGCGGGGACGCGGAAATGGAGCCGCGGCCGGGCCGGGCCGTGCGGGCGCTGTGCGGCCTCTTCCTCCTCCTCCTCCTCGTCCTGCAGCATCCCGGCCGCGCCGAGCGCGCCCCCGGCTCCCACCTGGACGAGTCGGCCATCGCAGGTGAGCCCCCCGCCCGGGCTGCCCTGCCCGCCCCGCGGGGCTCGGGCGCTGCCCGGGCTCGGCCGGGCCAGCCCCCCCCGCGCTCCGCTTTGGGGCCATTCCTCCGCCTTTCGGGCAAGAGCTGCCGTGACCCCCGGCTCGGGACCCCGCGAGGACCGGAGTAACCCCCGATTGTTCCTGCGGCGGGCCGCGGCTGTTTGGGTCAAAAGTTTTACATTTCAGCTCATTTAGAGTATTGCGCTCTCCTTCGTTAAACGGCACCGGCTGGGAGCGCTTGGCGGGGTTTAGATTATTCGTGTTATTTACTTGTTAATGGCAGCGTGGCCGGGAGCTGGGGACGGTGCCGGCCGCTCCGAACGAGCTGTTTGCGGGGCCGCTGCCGGCTGTGGAGCCCGGCAGCCGCAGCTGCGGAGCGCGGCCCTGGCGCTCGGCTTGCCCCGCTCCCATGCCGCCGCCCCTCCAGCCCAAAGCGGCCCGAGCCCGGCGGGTTTGCCCCGAGCCCGGCTCCGTGGGCTCCGTGTCCTTGTGGCGGTGCCCGAGGTCAGCCGGAGCTGGCCGTGTGAGCCCCGGGCGGCTCCGGGAGTGCCGAGCCCCGCTGCGGGAGCCGCGGGCTGCAGCCCGGCCGGGCACACCGCTCCGGGGGGCGCGGGGAAGCGCTCGGGGCGGTGTTTGCATTCCGGGGTTTGGTGGAAGGCGTCCTGGAAGGGCTCGGCTCCGAGCGTGGGGCTTGCCGGTGGGAACAGGGCAAGGAGCCGGCCCCGGAGCCGCGGGACCGGCAGAGGCACGGGCAGCTCGGGGTGGGAGCCCGGGCAGCTCGGCGGGCCCGAACCGGCCGGGGATGGGCTCTGTCACTCGCTGTCTGCGGCACCGGGGCTCCTCATCCCCTCCGGCCGTGCTCCTGAGCCCCCGGGCCCGTTCCCATCCAGTCTGCTCCACTAAGGAAACTGGATCTCCGCAGTCCTTCTCAAGCGAGGTTTGTGCCTCCAAGGAATTTCCAGCGCGGTTATTTTTGGAGGCCCTGCAGAAGTGTGGCAGCCTGGGTGATTCAGCTGCTGGCTGTGCTCTTGGCGAGCGGAGGCAGCCCCGGCACGGCACGGCACGGCACGGGCGGGAGCAGCCCCAGCGCTGGGCTCCAAAATCCGCCTGGAACGGCTGTTCCTGCCGGGCCAGCGCTTCGGGGCACTCCGGGCCGTGCTTGGGCTCCCGGACCTGCGGGCTGGAGCCGCAGAGGTGCAGGAATGTGGCCAGGGAGGGTTGGTGTCCCCTGCTCCGTGTCTGTCCCGGGACAGCCGGGCGGGCTGGGAGGCTCCGTGCCCTCTGTGCCGCAGCCCCCGTGTCCCCGAGGTCTCTTGGCCCTTTGCTTGGGAGCTCTCTGAGCTGTCGCTCCCAGCTCCCGGCAGGGAATGTCCTCAGCCGGCACCGGACACGCTTTTCCCCATGTTTTCCCTGGAAGCAGAAGGTGCTGGCTGCTCGGTGGGAGGCAGAGGTGAGTGTTGGACGTGTTCGAAAGTGAAAGTGCTCGGCTTTGACACGTTTTCCAACGTGCAAAGGTGCTTTTTAAGAAGTTTTTAAATTTTTAAATTTTTTTAATTCTTTAATTAGGATGGCAGGATTTTAAGGGTAAAGTGTCAGCGCCGGGGAAGTTTCTCAGGCAATGCAGGGAAGTGTTTGCAGCGAGCAGGAGCCTGAGCTGCAGCACTTCTGGGGCTGCTGAGGCTCCTCTGCACGCTCAGGGGATGCATCAGCAGGTTTTACCGAAGAGTAGGGAATTATCCCGATTCCTGGGAGATATTTTTGAGCAAGAGTTTGAAACTGGTGGGTTTATCCATGCAGGAAAATCAGAGTAGGTGACTGAACCCCGAGGAAAACCAGATTTTCTCCTGGCTTTGACTCCCTCCGAGGCGAATTGAGGCCTTAATCTTGGAGCTGTAATCTTTTCCTGCCGGGATCGCTCTGGAGTTTGGATCCACTCGGCAGCACAGGAGCCGTGTGAGGAGGAGGGGGGCTTTGGAGCCCAGGCCGGGCAGAAGGAGCCCCTGGCCCTGCCGAGGCCAGGTTCGGGCTGCTGCCGCTGTCACAGGATGTGTGACGGCCCCACGGCATTGTTTGCACCCGCCCTGGTTATTTTTAGCCCGAATTTGTCAGGCTGCAGCCTGGCCTGGGACCTTTTCACACCCCTAAAAGGGGGCAAACGAGGCTCCTCAGGGACAAACTGGACTTCCAGGAATTTTTTCCCCTCTTTCTGCTCATTTGCTGTACTCTGGCTGTTGCCCAGACCAGCCAGGTTTTGGTGCTTTTTCTGGTCCTTATCAGAACATCCTCTGGCTGTGGCCAGTGTTTTACATGAGTTTTATGTGGGCCATCAAAAATGTGACCCATTGTTTGGGTCAAATGTCTTAAATTTCATCTCATTTAAAATACAAATCTTGCTCAGCTGCCTCTTCCCCCTTAAATCACATCACCTGCGAGCAGTGTGTGGGATTTGGGGCTATTTTATTTTAATTGCTTGCCCTGTGTGCGGCCCAGCACAGGTGGGCACTTCCAGGTGTGTTTGTAGGAGAGGCAGGGGTTTGGATGGCTGGGGCTCATCCCTGGTTCCCTCCATGGTGACAACTTCCCCCTGCAGATCCAGGGGCATCCAGATCCCCCTGTCCATCTCCCTGCAATAATATGGAAGTGGTGCAGGTCTGCATTGCCCTGAGCCTTATTCCATTGTGCAGGGAATTCCTTGCTGAGCTCTGGCATCCACAGGGATCTGGGCCTCCTGTGGGTGCCTGTTCTGGCACCCTTGAGGCAGGTCAGGGATTGTGAGGTGGATTTTCCCTCTTTCCTGCAGCAGCTCAGAGGTGGGCTCTCAATTGTGTGTTGAGTGGAGGCATTTTTGGGTGGTGCCTCAGAGGGTGGCAAGGCTCTGGTGCAGGGCTGGCACAGGTTTGGTGGCTTTTCCTCTTTCACAGCAGCTCCTCTTTTCTCTTCCTTTCTCCTGCCCTGTCTCTTGCTTCCCTGTCCTGATTCATTCATCACAACCCTTCTTGAGTCATCTTTGCTTTTATCTCAGTGGTTTAAAAAACAAGTTAAAACCACATCCTGGTAGTGTTGGTGCCCAGAGCTGGAGGGCTGTGCCCAGGGCTGTTCCTGTGTTTGCCTGGAACACCTAGAGCTGCCCTTAAACCCAGGGAGCATCCTGTGGGACAAAGTCAGGGTGAGGAAGGGGGGCTGCAGCCACAGCCTGGTGACTGTCATTGATTGCAGAGGGGGACAAGGTGAATTTCTGGGTGAGGAGGCTGTGCCCAGCCCTGTCTGTCCTTGCCATCCCAAGGCCCAGGGCTTCATTGGAAGTGAAGCCTTCGCTGCAAAACCTCTGCCTTGGGAAGTGCTGGCTTTGGGCTTGAAACCAGCAGTGAGGGATTTTGTCCTGTGAGCAGCTCGTGGCCTCAGTGGAGCCATGGGGAGCTCAGTGGTGGCTCGTCCTGGCTCTCTGTCCTTCACAGACTGGGACAGTTCATGGGACACAGCGACCTGCTGTGCCCTCCTTGCTTTGGTAAAATGCCTTGTACAGGAGATTTTGCTGTTAAATCAATTCCTTCAGGGGGTTCACTGAGTGGAAGTTGCACCTGTGAGCAGCAGCTTTGGGTTGGGTGAGGGAGACGAAGCCGTTGTGGGAATACTGGGAGAGCTCTGCCAGGGAAAAGTCCATATTCTTCCCCACCTCAGTTGGAAGCACAGCCTCGGCTTCCTTCGGGAATGAAACTCATCTCGAGGAATTGCCATTCTGAGAGCTGGAAAAATTGTGTTTTGGCAGCAAAGTGGCCTCATGTGGAGGAGGAGCAGGGCCGACTGGGCAGCGCTGGGGCTGCTGGGGAGCTCCTGGCTCCCTCCAGCTCATTCCCTTCCCTGCTTGGCCCAGAAACTTGGAGTAATGCTCAGCTGGATCAGAGAGAGGATCTTAATTTAATTTCTTGTAGGATTTATTTATTTGCTGCCTTGGAAAGCAGCTGTCTCCATGTCTGCTGTGCCCCCAGGGTGGTCCCTTCCCGCAGGAGGGTTCAGAGGGAGCTGCAGCTCCTGCTCCAAACTGGGCTTTGGGTTGGCCTTTCCCACCGTGGGGCAGGGATGCACACATCCACGTGGAACTCCAAGGCAGCAATCCTTCTGTCCTTTCCATCCTTTGCTCTCAGGAGGGCACGGAGCAGAAAATGTGTGGGGAAAGAGCCTCCTGACATCCCTTGTGGTGCAGCTGCAGGGGCTGGGATGCTCTGGTGGTCCTGGAGTGGAGCCTTATCCCAAGAGGAGTGAGAAGGAAGAGCACTTTGTGTTTCTGTGGCCTGCTCAGTTGGTGTTTGGCTCGTGGGCTGCCTGGCTGTGTTGGTACACCACAATTCCCTGTGGGAGCTCTCTCCTCCCCTGGGCAGGGGCTGGAGGGACGGGTGAGTGTCTGGGGACAGCCCTGGGGAGCTGAGGTACCCTCCAGGGACGTGTGGTGCATGATCTGCCTGGCATTTGGGGAGGGAGGGGAGCTAAAAGGCCATCCTGGTATCTAGGGGCTGCCCAGGGAGCTTTGCAGTGCCCATCCCTGCAGGTGTCCCCTGGGGGTGGCACTGAGTGCTCTGGGCTGGGGACAAGGTGGCCATGGGGCACAGCTGGCACTGCCTGGGCTGGGAGGGCTCTGCCAGCCCCAGGGATTTGGAGATTCTGGGATTTATTAGTAAAAAATCCTTTTCTGTGAGCTGGTGGTTGAAAGCAGCACTTCCCTGGGGTTATGCCTGTCGTGCTGCTTGTCCCACTTGGAGGCTGTGCTGCTGGAAAGGCGCTGGCAGTGCCTCCTGTCCCTGGTGCTTCCAAGCCCGGGGCAGTGCCAGCCCTGGCCACCCTTCGGGGCTGGACTGTGCCCAGCCTGGCATTCTGCTCCCCACAGCCCTAATTGCACAAACTTATTAGTGTTAAAAAAACTGCTTCCTCCATTAATTAGCTTTGCTTAAATCCAGAGAGGGAGAAATAAA